TATATATATTCTATATAATAATGTAATAGTATTTTTTAACTATATAAGAGACATCTTTTTTAAATAATGAAAGCCAGTGGCTTCTCCTCAGAGATATACACATTTCATTACATTTTCCACACAGTTTCAGGGGCTCAGGAGTCCTTGTGTTCCAGCTGCCCTGACCTTTGGTCTCCCTGTTACCAGCTTCAGAGATCACAAGACTGCAAACAGCTTTCATTGTTAAAACAGCTCTTTTTTACATGCAACCAGAATCTCTTTTTCGAGGAGTTCTACTCATTGGTGCTAATTCTTTCCTTTATAGACACGGGGTGAAATCTTATTTTCAGCCTAACATCTCAAACAGCTGTAATTGGTAATCTTGCTCCACACATGACTCTTCTGGCTTCACTTTTGGCCTCCTCCTATCGACTATTTAAATGTGGCTTCGATTGCCTAAACTTCTCTGGCTACTCCTCTGGACATAGGATGCTTCAGCTCTGCAACGGCCTTTCCTGGAATGCAGTGCCCAGAACTGAGCAAAGAATTCTGCTGTGGCTTCCCCAGTCACACACAGAAAGCTGCTTTCCTTTCCACTCTCCTTTTAGATTTCCCGCTATCAATGCAGGGTCTGATCTTGTCATGTGGTCAGGAGCCTTCCGCAAGATTGGCACATACTCATGTACTTGCATATTCTTAATATGGGACTCTCCTTTTCACCCTGTCAAGGTTTTTCTGTGTTCTGATTCAAATCCATTCACATAATCTTTCTCTGAATGATGTCTTACTCACAGATTTTCTAAGCAGGCTTTTATTTATTCCTCTAACTCAGAAATAAAACTACAGAATAGGACAGAAGAACAATACCTCTCTTTCTCACTAGCAATCGCTTTCCAGATTTACATTATTTTATGAGCTAGCATTTACAGCACATGGTGCTCCAATGTTTATTAGGCTAGTTAATACTGTTACCTACATAAAAGCCACAATTTTACTCTAGTTTAAACAACACAAAAGTTCAATTTTTTGTCAAAAAATTTGATTTTCTGATACATTTACATTTTATTATTATCTATTATTGCCTAAGAGACCTAATTCTCTGTAAAACAGAACTTTTATTGTAGCCATCACCCCTTGTACTTTGCCAAGAACAGAGTGTTCTTTCTTTTCCCTTAGAAGTCATGTATCCTCACAGTGGGGACCATCAGTGGTTATGAGGAAAGAAGGGTGAAGAGATGGGTGGAGAGACGGGTGGAGAGATGGGGGTCTCTTGGTGATTCTGAGAAGCAATAATTCTCTTCCCTCTCCCCCCCCGCCCACACACACACGTACACAGAAATAGAAAATTATTGGGCCCTGAATTATTAGGTCCTCTTAAACTCTAAAATAGTTTAGGAATGAAAACATTTGTATCAGGTCATGCTTTGAACTAAATTCTTCAATACAATAAACATAGAAAGGACAACAATCCCACTTACCTAGTGCTAATAATCGATAAAGACTTAAGTGCATTTGTTAGCCAGGAGTCTGTCAGACCTTCAATCTCTGCTCTTAACTGTAGCCATGCATCCCTCTTGGCAGGGCCAAGGAGTCCTGCAGCACCGAAAAGCAAGGCAGAATCAGACCAATATTTTGAAAGGAGAATTTCGTTTGGCTTCCTTTCTGTCTTGTACAGATTATTTTTATTTCAGTTTCGATCAGAAATGGAGAGATACAGTGTGTGTGAAAGAGGAGGGTCTGAGAAAGGACATTTAGGGGAAAAATAGGGAAGAAAAGCATTAATGGCACAAAGAAATGTGGTATCTGTTGAAGATGTTTTGTAGTTTTATCAACTGTACTAGGGAGAAATATTCACCTGTTGAAATATCCATTTTGTAAGACAAATATTAATGTGAGTGAATATATAAAATAAAATGAAATAAAAAATAAAAATAAAGGAAAAAATGGAAAAAAAAAGAATTTCACATTTAAAAAAATAAAAAGGATGGGAATCAAGGGGGGAAGAAAGAAGGAAAGCATTTAAGGAACGAACACAAAGGTGAAAAATTATCTGTTGATGATAGCATGTATAATACTATCTTTAACTGGAGTAATGCAGTGTATTAGTGCTAGGAAAATTCATTTTGCATGCTGTAACAATATACAGTGATTCAATGTACAAAAAATTAAAAATAAAAAATAAATAAAAACAAAAAAATCTTAAAAAAATGAAAAAACAAACTATTTTTACAAGTATTATAAAAAAAAGAAATGGAGAGAGATGCAGATTTATATCAATACTTATCTCTTATTTTGGAACTGATTATCCACTCACTCACTCACTCAACAAGTATTTATGGAACAACTACTAGATGCCAGGTACGAGGACTACTGGGAATAAAATGCTGCAAAGTGTTAGTCCTAACTAACTAGGACTAGGTATTGGGAATAAAAGGTTCTGTGTCCTCCCTGAACTTCGTCTGATGCAGTGCATGCCAACTACCAAGAGAGCTTTGAAACTCCCCTGCCTGGGTCCCAGGGGAGACTGAGGTATATCAGGTATGGAGGAGTAGTCAGGCTCTGCCAGCCTAGGGACAAAACCCCCAAACATCTGACTGCCTGAAAATGCTGCTTCTTAATAATTCAATCACAATAATTTCCATGATGGAATAGTAAGGATGGCATTATCATATACAGCTGTTAACAATGTTCCTCACATTAGTGCTAAGGCTATAATAGAAAGTTTATTCTCTAAATAAATAAATAATTGTGTTTAAAATCCGAAGTGAATAATGCAGTTTTAGACAACAGTGGTAAAATACATTGGTGTTAAAATAAGAAGAGGCAGGAACCTAATTAAAAATTTTAAAATAGCCAGTTCTTCATTTTACAACTAAACAAGATTATGTAAATCCTTTAAAAAGGAAGATTTCTTATTTAAATTATATTTCAGAATACTGGAAACACATATAGTTAAAATGATAGGATTCCAGAAGGGTAATGCTTACTAACCACTCTCTCTGTCAATGAATAGGAATCTCTTCTTTAGAAAATCTTCTTCGACTGGTCAGTTCTTCCTGTCTGGTTATTACTGATAATGTCCCAAGCACCAGCTGATGAAGAGTAAACTAAATGCCCTTAATGTTAATATTGACCAAATATCTAAGTACATTTCACAAAGAGCTCCCAATTGAGGCTGGCCCTCTAGCCTCATGATTAAAGGAGCCTGATCTCACATGGCTGACCACGCGGTTTAGTTTCTGGCTTTGGGAGTTTGAAAAACATGCTAGGCATGTATGTGATGTGACCCAAATCTTGACAGGGTAGAGGAATGGAGGAGCGAGGCCTGCACTATGGCCATACCCCATTAGGGAGTGTTTTCTCCCCCTCCCTCTGTCCCTCTTTAGTGAGTGCTCACAGACTCTGGCAATTAAAAAAAATTTAAAAATCCCAAGCATGTTATACTTTGCAGTTAAATTTTCCCCCACTGATTCTGAGAAACTTAAAATTCTGGTTCAATATAATTTAACCTGAGCTTTTGCTAATTTATTTTACAATAGGATGGTCTCTAACATGAAACCACAGTTCGAATTCTGCCTATACCCAGAGTACCTTCATTAGATTACAAAAGCCACACATACCTCCGACATTGTTCTTGTAGGTGTTATATAATTCTTTTACTCTTCTATAACGAAAAGCCAACTTCCTCATCCAGTCGACTCCCCCTCTTACACCTGTTGGCAAACAAAGGTTTGCACTACTTGCAGCTGCATGGAAGCCATCAGTTGCAAAACTGTAGGTACTGCAACACCCAAAATACATTAAAAAGAAATAAAAGAAATAATTACATGTGCAAAACTCCAGAGCTGAATTTCTGCAGGAAAAAGCATACTGAAAGGCATGGCTTACCTTAAGTCCTGCCCATTATCATCAGAGGACACATCATCTATGTGCACTTGATCACACTCCTGTTAAAAACATTGGAAAAGTTATTTGCTTTTCAAACGATGCTGTTACATTGTTTCCCATCTTTCCATTCTATTAGAGTATGGCCAGGAGATGGCGGCATTTACTCATCCATCCCACCATCTCCTGCTTGTTTTCTTGTACCAGGAAATAGCACATTTCTGTTCCGTAAGATCGAAATCCAGAACAATGTCATAAAAAGGGATCAGAAAACATGTAGCATAAGGATTTCTTTAGAGATATTTTAAAAATAATGTTAATTTTAAAACTACTGACAATAAACTCTCCTTTGAACATTCATAAATCATTTGGGTTTCCTTTTAGCCATTTCTGTTGTGCACATCCAAATCAAGCTAGTCTGAAGATATTCAAAACTTGTTTAGTCTGCACACCTCGAGGGGTTGCTAATATTTATTATTTGTTGAATGGGAACAGAAGGGGTCTGACCTCAGATTATGGTGGTTGGTTCCATGACATCCTGCTTCTTGCTAGACCAGAGATACCATGGAAGAATAATGCTGGTGTTATTTTAAGGTCCTGATGTTTTTCCTTTTGGGAGAGGGGATGGTCACACACCAATCCCTTCTCCATTCTCCTGGGATCCTGGGCACTCACACACATGTGCCTGGTATTACATTTTTTTATATCTTTTTTTTTTAAGAGGTTTTTGCTATAGGGCACGTGCGCTCGCCAGACAGAGAGAGACAGAGAGACAGAAAGTGAGAAATCACCCCCCAGGGGGGATGGCCACACCGCAATCCCTTTTCCTCCATTCTCCTCTCGGGATCTTGGGCATGCACACACATGCGCCCAGCATGAGTTTTAAGCCACTGGGTCCGGGACACGAACCGCAGTCGACTACATGGGAGTCCAGTGACATAGCCATTACGCTAACAGCTGGTCCCTGCCTGGTATCACTTTCAAGCTACTGGGTTTGGGACTCAAACCGCAGTTGGAGATGTAGAAGTCCAATGACTTAACCGCTGCATCACCTGCTGACCCCAAAGTCCTGATTCTTTAACCCTCAAAAATGTTAATAACCATAGAAACTCTAGGTAAGTATAACCATATAACTGATATGATATTATGCTATTATATGCTCCCAGCTAGTGATAATGATGCTGAATAAGGATTCTTTACTGTTCTCAAAAGTCTTACTCTGTGCTGTCCAATAAATCTGCACATTCCAGTAAAATATTACATAATTTGTAGGTAAAATTTGGCTATGGAATTGAAGTAACTAGTTTTCAGAATAAAGATAAATATTTAATACAGAATAAATTTTATAATTTATAATAAATAAGTACAGTTAAATAAATTAAGCCCCAGAATAAGTATTACTTAGCCTCCTGGTACTCTTTTGTTTCCCTCAAATTATTTTAATCATATAGATCTGACTGTATACCTATGAGTGCATACCACTCAAAATCAATTTTTTTTCAGGTTTTTTTTTTTTTTTTTTAAGATTTTTTTTTGCCTTAGGTCATATGAGCTCACTAGAGAGAAAGAGACAGAGCCAGTGAGAGGGAAAGTGAGAAATCACCCCATGGGGGCATGGCCATGCCGCAATCCCTTCTTCTCCACTCTACTCCTGAGATTTTGGGCATGCACGCACATGTGCATGAGTTTCAAACTACTAGGTCTGAGACTCAAATTGCAGTTGCCCATGTGGAAGTCCAACAATGTAACTGCTATGCCATAGTGTATGTTTGTTCACCGGAGAGAGAAACAGATAAGGAAGTGAGAAATCACTCCCCAGAGAGGATGACCATGATACAATCCCTTCTTCTTCACTCTCCTCTGGGCACACATGCACACAGCTTGGTGTGTTTTTCAAGCCCCGGGTCTGAGATTCAAACTGCAGTCAACCACGTGGAAGTCTAGTGCCTTAACTACCATGCCACCTGCTGGCTCTCGAAATCAAGTTAAAAAGAATTCTATCTGAAAAATGCCATACTTAATATGGAGTATTAGTTACTACTTACTATTGGGTTGTTGGAAAAATCTTGACATATTTTTTTCTGTTTTTCTATATAAAAATGTGTCATGACTTTTCTGACAGCCCAATATATATTCACTATAAGACTCGAAAGGATCTGGTCATCAAATATTTAACATGTAATCCAGTGCCTGGCTTTCTACACAGTCTATTAATCTTGTTTTAGTATGAAGACAATCTAGTTGACTGACACCGATGAGTAAAATTTTTGTATATAACTTGAAAATCTAAGAAAATAAAATTTTTAAATTCATATAATTTACATAAATCAAAAATTCAGTCATTTTTGAAAAAAACCTCTACTTACAGTCACAAGAGCCCAGAAAATTTAATCTGATGGAAATTCCCTGCATAAGGTATTTGGTTCAGGAGGCTATACTTCCCACATAAGTTGCAATCCAGTATCGGATAATTACACAATCCTTTTCTAAGTAAATGGCAGAAGCTTAGACAAATGATCATTCTTAACAGGATTACCACAATAATTTGAATTTTCTAACAGAAGATTATGTTGCTTATAACATAATAATATTCTAGATGGGGAAGGCTATAAGATGATATTTCTAGCAGGGGTGGGGCAGAGAGCAGAGTAGGAGCTAAGTCTTCCCAAATCATGATGGAATAGGCACTTACAAAATCTTCCCACCTTACACCAAATACTGATCCAAACCAGTGCAGCTGGGCTGGCCCCACAGTGCAGCAGTGAAGCACTATGAGTTTGAGTGCTTACCCTGGCAACTTAAAACACATGCCAGGTACATGTACATGTGTACCCAGGACTCTGATAGAATTGGAGGAAAAAGGATTATGATGTGACCAGGGTCTATTGGGGGTGTTTTCTCTCTTTCTCTCTCTTACACACACATGCCCTCTAGCAGAAGGAAGGGAGGAAAGAAGAAAGAAAAAGGAAGGAAGCAAGAGAAGGAGAAAAAGAGGAAGGAGTGGAATCCAAACTACAACTAAAGGAGGCATTACGGTTCCAGAAAAAAAAAATCTCATGTAAAAGTATTAGAAGCAACAGTAGTAGCATTGAATTGGGCATTAAAGGAGAGGTTGTAGGGCTTCTTACAAGTCAGTATGAAAGCTGGAATACAGGCCCCTCAGAACACGGAGGCACTAGTGTAGTTCTGGATGACAGTATTATTTCTTATTTACAGGTAGTGACATTCTTCAAAAGTATGTAGACTGAAACCAATCACTGTTGAAATGGCATCTCAGAAAGGTGCCCAAGTTATAGAAGTTCTAAAATCTCTCTGCATGTAAATAATTTCCACAACTCTCTTTTAAACAAACTAAAGATATCCAAAAAGGGAGATGGAGAAATCCTCGTGAGTTACCCTGGCAATCAGAAGTCACTTCTATTTTGAATTCTTGCCTGTCCTGATTTTTAGAGAAATTCCTCTGACATTTTAAATATTAACTCAGATGATTAATTTGTATATAGGTTGCCCGAAATTTTATTTCTTACTCTGGAGGACAACAGTATATCAAACTTACTGGACCATGAGCGTGATATCTGAAGTTATATTTGAGGTTTTTCCAAATCTAACTTCTCTTTTAAATTTATGCCTAGTTAACTATGCTTGTTGATTCTGGACAGTTGCCTGAGGATTACAGTCCAGTGAAAGAAACCTGAACTTCCATTACTTACATTTTTAAGGAAAGCTAAATAATTGTTCTTCAATTAGCTTTTACTCTGAGGAACTTTGCGAGAATGGTTTTGACCCAAAGCAGGAATACTAAAGACACTGTAATTCTTTGGTTCTAACGAGTTTCAGTAGACGACCTCAAACATCTGAAATAATTCTCATACAAATTTTAAATGTTTTAATTTTGTCTTATAAGGTGACCACAATATTATCACTGATTTGTATCAGTTATAATGCACAGAAGTCTTTCCTGACTTGTGTGATCCCAAACTCCCTAGTGCTTTCCACTGGAAGTTATTCTAACTGAAAAAAAGTTTTATTTAAACAGAGAGTATTCTTTTTTTTTATGGGTGTAGTGTGAGCATGTGCCTTCTCTGCAGTTGAGCAGGATGTAGTGAAGTATCCATTAGGAGGATTTAAAATTGTATCTTTTAAGGAATTATGTAAAGAGCAGCTGTTACTGCATATGTTGTGGTATTTATTGAAGGATTTGAGTCTCAAATTAGATTTTTTAGGCTAAAAAAACTCTACAAGACTAAATGTATGAGAAGAAAACCATAATAACGTAATGGTGGAGTTACTCTCTTAGAGAATTCTTTTCTTTGTCAGAAGCAAAAATAACGACTTAATTCCACTTATAGAACCCAAAGTATTCATTGGTTGTAAGAGGATTATAAAATATAAAGATGTGAATTATGTGAAAGTGGAACTGAGGTTCAAAGTCAGGTGCAGAAAGACAGTGGGTGTGTTTATGCTGAATGATTTTGAAAAACAGTGCTCAGATTTTATTAGTTTAGTGCTTGTTTATCTTAAGTCAGTAATAAATCTTTGAGTTTCTTCAGGCACTTCAACTGGGTGTGTAAACACATGTATGTGTGTGTATGTGCACATGTAAAGAAAGTTCAATTAATTTGTATGCTGATACTCAATTGTTTAATTGCTTAAGTACAGTATTGTAAAATAGCTAAGATTTAAGGCTTGAGTCAAATAAAATTTTTATCCAATTTAAAAATACAACTAAAAAGCCATAATCAGAAAAGAGAAAGTGAATACCAGTATTTTCTCAGTTAATAATTTCTACCAGATAACGTGCTAGGTATTTAAAATATATATATGATACATACATACATACATACATACATATATATTACACACATATATATGTCTTACAAATATGTTTTTACAGATATATGTATATATTATCTAAACTAAAATAAATGGTCTCAAAGCACCATCAATGATCAGAGCATATTTTCATTATACCAATATTCATTTCAAAACTATCTATGAATTTGTCATATGGTACCTTCACTATATCATCTTAATGTTCTATTAAAAGTTGAGTAGTAAATTTATTCCATCTGGCTTCTAATGTAACACTAAAAAGCTACAAATTCTTTTATTCCATTTATTTACAGTAAAGAATAATTAACCAGAGGAAATATGTACTATAAAACTTGGATTAAAAACCACATAAAATTTCATTTTTCTTTTTACATCTTTGAAAGGACTTATGATGCTCTTTAGCATGAGACTCAGCCATAATGACAAACTGAAAAATGAATCTAGGAAGTTATCAGCGTATGTAAGAAATTCAAGCTCCTAAAAGATTAAAATATGTTTCCTATTATCAGGTATATACAAAAACCATTCTGTATACTAGACAGTAATAAGTAGCAGTATTAATTTCAATCAGTTTTTAGACATATGATTATTATTTTTTATTTAACACTAGAAAATTTACCTAGAAATATTTAGCTTTTTTGTTGTCCATTAAAGAAAAAAAATAAAGCATATGCTAGAAAGATACTAATGTTTTTATGTGGTTAAGCCACTGACTTTTCACAATGCCATTACACGGATTTTCAGTACATACACTTATGACATAAACTGGACCTCTCATACGTACTCTGATGTCTCAAATGTAACTCTAAGCAGATCAAAGACCTTGTCTATTTTAAAAACTTCTTTAAGTCGTTCAGCTAACTTAGCTTTCCTTTTGCACACATTTCTTTTAATTTCAGCATGATATTGGGGAGCAAAAGATATGCTCTGGTGCTAGGTACACCTGCTTCAATTCTCAGTTTAAGTACTTAGTCACCTGGTAAATCTGGACATGATTTTTTTTTTTGCGAGTTTTTTTTTTTTTTTTTTTGCTATAGGATGCGTGTGTACGCCAGAAAGACAGAGAAAAACAGAGACAGGAAGTGAGAAATTACCCCCAAGGAGGGATGGCCACACCACAATCCCTTCTCCTCCTTTCTCCTCTCAGGATCTTGGGCATGCATGCACACGCGCCCGGCATGAGTTTAAGCAACTGGGTGCGGGACTCGAACCGCAATCGACTACGTGGGAGTCCAGCAACATAGCCATTACGCTAACTGCTGGTCCCTGGACATGATTTTTTGTGCTGTGGATCCTACAAAAATAATATGATAAACATATATGTTTCAAAGCACTGCTAATTAATGAATGGAAAGTCCAACATAAAATGTCTACATCAAGGTGGGGGTTTAGTAGTAAAAATCTCACTCTTCATTCATAGCGTAATTACAGATAAATACTTTTATTTCATTGTGAAGCTATGAGATAAAACAAAAACAAAATCAAAAACAAACAACAACACAACACTTAACAATGACATTAAAAAAAAAAATTCTCAAGGCCAGCAGGTGGCATGATGGTTAAGGCACTAGATTCCCACATGGCTGACTGCAGTTTGAATCCCAGACCCGGAGCCTTGAATATTATGCTTGGTACATGTATGTGCATCTTCAAAATCCCTAGAGGAGAATGGAATCTATTTAAGTATAGTTTGGTTTGACTGAGAACTGTATATGCCCAGTGTCTAAATTATTAAATTATTTCAAGTACTATTATCAGAATGGCTAGTAACCCAGATTAGACAGTACGTAAACAGCTACTCTAAGGCTGATTTTTTCTGACTATTCTTTTTGGTCTTGTTTTGTTTTTAGTTCTGCTTTCTCTGGCTGGCTATTTGGACACTTGTACTGATTGCTTTTTGAGGATGGACACAAAAAAGTAAATTTGAAAAAAGAGAAAGTAAATGGCAAAATAATGGACACATCCTTAGAATTTTAGACCAGATGGGTAAACAGCTTTAGCACTCTTTTATCCAGACAGGGAGGAAAAAAGGAATGACAACATTGTCTAAAGTAAGATTTCATATTTTCTGCAAAAAATTTAATGGTCCATGCTATCACCAAGAAAAGTATCTGTAATTATGGTCTAGTGATGAACCTAAACAGCATACTGGAATAGATAATGTTGATTCCTAAGACAGCAAACGGGTTGTGATTGAGACCCTTAAAGAACCAGGAGCGACACTGGAGGGTGGGGGGGTGTAGGCTACAGTATGAAATGGCAACTGGACCATGCTCTTTTGTCACACATTTCTGTTCTAAAATAGGTGCCAGTACATATATATTATTTGGAAACACAATTCGGCTTCCTGTTTATCAATGTATGTACAATCTTGACAAGAACTGTAGAGTCTTCTTGAGCTAAATTTCTATCTTTGCATTTTCTCAAGGTTATTTGCACACATAGAAACCATTTTCAGAACTTGAGTGTTAGATGCTATTCTTTACTTCTAAAATTCTTACCTCTAAGTCATTAAAAAACAAATGTGTATCAGCAAGATTAAAAATCATTTCCTCCATTCGGAGTCCAAGAGTTACAGCCATGGGAGGATCCTGGGGGGGAAAAAAAGACATGCATAATGAGGTAAAATTTCAGTAACCACAGTAATTACTAAAAATATCTGAAGGACTGGCCATGGTGGTGCAGCACTAATGGAATGCTCTGAAATGCACATCGGGCTCATATCCCTATGTCCCCCTGTGCATGTTCTGTGCACATGTCCACACGCCCATGATGCTGGCTCCTGAGGATGGGAATGGATCATAGCATGGAGACTCTATTGTAAGTGTCCCATCTCTCCCTGTCTCTCTCTCTCATAAAGAAATAAATGAATACTCTTAAAATATTTCAAATCTGTATTACTGTGGGAAGTGGGAAGAGGAAACTACAAATTTTTACCAAAGCTTCCCAATTATCTGAAAAGGTACCTTTCCAAAAGGTTGAGACTTATCAAATGTCCATATATATGTGTGCGAATTTGCAGGCATTTATACACCCATAGGTGACTCAGGATAAATTTTCACTTGAAGCCATATATTTATGAGAGGAGGAGGAAGAAAGTCATATGACGCAGTTTATATATACTCCATGAAAGTCTTTTAAAGAAAGGTATTGAGTGGGGTACTGAAGAATGCAGCAAACTTATTATAAAAGGGGGAAAGTACATCCCTTTAAGAATGACAACAAATAATAGACAGAAATAGGAAAGGAAGAGAAACAGACCAACTGGGTGTTTGGGTTAGAGCACAGAATGTCTTGAGGTGGGGATGAGAACAGCTTGCAAAGGTTAGTGCAACCCCCACTTTTACTTATTGCATTTTCATTAACAAAGTCATAGGAATTTTCACTACATATGCACATATAGTTGGGTCTAAGTTGTATTTGAGTAGGTTGAAGAGAGAATGGTCCAAGTTAACAAAAAGAACACTAATTCAGGAAATGTAAGCTAGGTGGAAAACATTTGCTTTTAAAGGTTTAATGAAAATAAGGGTTTAGGAAGGAGTGAAAATGACTCAGTTTTTGTTTACAGAAGCCAAGATATTAAGCAGCAGCAAAGAGCTTAGAATCAAGATCAGAGTTGTTACTTTATCATGATTAGCTGCAGCTGAAGGAAGGACTGGCGTCTACTTAAAAAGTGGAGTTCAGGGTTAGTGTTAGGGGAAGTAGTTCATGCACAAATATATGTTAAAATGATCAAAACAGGAATGATTGTTTAAAGAGAACTGCAATAGGTGACTCTGGAGATAAGAAAAACAAAACATGGAAGGGACAAATCCTTAGAATTTTAGACCAGATGGGTATTGGCAGGGAGAATATGGTTTTGAATAAAGTCGATATGTCTAGAAGGATACTATTGGTTTTGGCTGAGAAATTATTTTGGAAGACCTCAGGGTGATTTGAGTTGAGTGGCTGGGACAGGAGCCAGATTGTAGGGATTTGAGAAGAGAGAAATGAAATTGTGTTTTCAACATCCTAATAAATGGCATTTCAAGAAATGTATTTAAACTAGGGAAAATGAATACTAACTTGTCTTTGATGTATGATAAGAACACATAACCCAGGTCAGGCCAAGCACTATTTATCTATAACTCCAAACTGATACCAGTCACAAGTAGAAGCCCCTCTTCATTCCAAACCAACTGGACAACAAACAATTTCATTCCTAGATTTCCTTATGCCAAAATGGAAGAAAACCCTCAACAAGTGTAAATACATTGAAAGTGTTAACCCTGCATCTTGTAGCCATTAAAACCTAGAGAACAGAAATTGCACGGTAAGAAATAGGAAATGAGTGCTAAAGGCCAGTTGACATGGGTAGAGAAAAATGAAAACTCCATGCAGAAGATGAAGATTCGACAATAATATGTTTTCTTTCTTTCCTTTTCTTTCTTTTTTTTTTTTTTTCTTTTGAGAAGTTTTTGCTACAGGGTGCGTGCATTCGCCAGAAAGGCAGAGAGAGAGATAGAAAGCAGCGAGAAATCAGTCCCCCAGGGGGCATGGCCATACTGCAATCCCTTCTCCTGCATTCTCCTCTCGGGATCTTGGGCACGCACGCACACATGCCCGGCATGAGTTTTAAGCCACTGGATCTGGGACTCTAACCATGGTTGACTACATGGGAGTCCAGCGACATAGCCATTACGTTAATTGCTGGTCCCAATAATATGTTTTCAACATAGTTTTCTAACTGTTTACATCTCCTCACTGAAGATTCCTATGGATTTCATAGCTAGGGAATCTCATTGGATTCCCAACAGATTTCATTTTTAAATTTTTTAAAATTTATGAGTTACTTTGTTGACTGCTCACGTACTGGTTGGAATCCTAGTGTTGCATCCACCGGTCAACTTGCCTCTACTGCCTGATTCATTGGTCTTCCCATGACAGGAACAGTTGGGGGAACATTCCCAAAGATCAAATCAAACAAATTTTCATTCGAAAATAAGAACAAAATTATTGTCTGTTTTGTGTCTTAAGGAATTTCAGAACTCAGAAAGAATCCCTTGATTTGTTTCCTGTAACTATGACATTCTTCCTCTCCCCCCTTTTAAAAAAGTTGATTTCTTTCTTGAGCAAAAGAAACAGAGAAACAGAGACAGAGACAGAGGCAGAGGCAGAGTGATAGTGCCCCAATGCTGTGAGCCTCCTTCAGCTTCAGTCAGTACTAGATCATGGACACACCACACCCAGCGTACTCAGGGAAGTCTTCAGACACAAACCTTTCCACATGAGTCAGTCCTGCAAAGTGTTTTACCACTGTACCACTATCTCGCCCCAAATTCTTTTTTATTATTTCTTTTGTTACTTTTCATGTTTTTGTTATATACAAGTTTTTGAAGGTTGGATACATTTTTTTTTAACATGCATTTTGCCTGTTATTCGTTGTTGTTAAAAATTCCCATTGTCTCTCTTTTTTGTTTTTTGAAGGGTGCGTGTTGGATAGGCAGAGGACATAGAAAACTTGCAAGTATTCTGCCTAGTCATGGAACCATGAACAAAACATCTACAGAAATATCAGGAAAAATCAAATGTAATTATAGCATGAAAACATAATTCCATTAGTGACGCTCTATGCTCTTGAGGAATGTTCACTGATGCAAGACAGTAAAACTGAGCTCCACATTGCTCAGTTATGTTTCTGATGATTACTGCCCTAAAGCTATATATTTCAGATGAGGGTTCAGAAATACCTTATTTAAAGGTTTTCTCCTTCTGGAAACCAGGTGGGTTCAACTCTTATCCTATGATTTGCCTACTTTTCTTTTTAAGTTTTAAATAAAATGACTGAATTTCTTCTGTTCATTCTTCACATTCTTTGCATTTACAGATCAGATTTATGAGAATGGGAGAAAACATACTGTTCTTGTTTAATTGCTACTTTCATCGATTCCATGCTTCTGAAGTACGTAACTCTCTATGCTACCCAAACAGTGAGAGGAAATCCATGAAGAATGCATTCTGCACATCTGATAAGCATGCAAACAATGTTAAAAAAAAAAAAAGGCAGGGGTGGGGGAAAGAATCCTTTAGCTAGCAAGCCTAGCGTATAGTACGATGAAAACTGTATTTGAGCACTGCACTGGAATGCAAACCCATGGCACCGGGAGGGCTGTCCATTTGTTTTTCAAGCTGTGGCAGTTCCACATCACACACTGTGTTAGCCAGGACTGAGTAAGCATTTTGGCAAAATCTCATCTGTTCACTGGGAAAGTTTAGGTTTGAGGTTTTCAGAGTGTGAACTGGCTGCATTTTCCTAAGGGTTCCAGAGAGCAAGGCCTGCTGAAAGGGAGGTGTTTCGTCAGCCATGCCAAAGGCTTGGCAGAGAAGGTGAGGGATCGTCATGTCCTAAGCCAAGGAAAACCATGCCTGTAAGAGAGATGGCGATCTTGTTTCTCAGTGAATGTCTGGTGAGGGCTTCTTTTCAAATATCTAATTTTACTCTTTGTTTTCTCCAGCTTACTAAGTCACTGGGACAGCTAATTCTAAGTAAGCAAATTACAGGACCACATTTTTCCAGCTACAGGACGCATGGATCTAAGAATCCAAAAAAGATGACTGGGCATTTGGTGGGTGTAGCCTTGGCAATGTCTCTGTGAATTTGGGTACCCCCTGTGTTGCCAAACTACTGGGAAGGAGCTGCAGTGCCTGTAATTCCACCATTTTATCAGGCATTTGAGAGTGAAATATACTTTTGGACTAGACCCAATGTTTCTTTTTTCTTTCTTTTTTTTTTTTTTAACGGAGATGTTTGCTCATTTTCATTGGATGTTTGTAGAATTATTGGGCACCTTATGAACCAGAAACTGCTGCTTTTTTATGTTTAACTGTAGTGAGTGTTGAGTTTGGGGTATAAAATGAAGTGAGAGCAAAAACTTTGATAGAGGGGGAAAGGTAAAATAACAGAAGTGCTAAGAGGGTTTTGTGGAAGCTCTGATGCATATTATAAATATATAATAGTGCCAGAAGGTTAAAAGTGTCTACAACATCATTTAATGTGGGGCAAATTGAACTTCTGCCACTTTATTTTGTGTACTAAAAACTCTATCAAAATAATGAAACTAGTCTCAAGACATTTTATTGAATCCAGAGAGGAGAGGAAAATGAAGAAAATAAATAGCACTTGGCCTTTAAATGTGTGACTCTAAGCCAGATGTTACCAGTGTATAACCAAGTCAGGATCAAATACAGCACTTCTCTAAATCAAAATACTAACGCCTATTAGCCATGTTAGCACAGAGCATAAATTGGAGCCAGACTGTCTGTCTATGGGCCTCTGCCCTGCATTGGGCCATCAGCTGGAATTCCTCCTCCAGGGACACACTGTAAAAATATCTCAGGAGAAGCAGCAATTATGTATTTTTAAATAAATGGAAGACCCTTTTTTTCATTTAAGGTCTTGAGTTCTTGGAATAGTTACTCCTTTGAGACATGAGGCACATTTGTAGACTTGTGCAGGCTGAGAGGGAAGATGTATAAGTTCATCACAGAAAAAGAAAGTCAAATAAGCTCATGAGGCAAGGTAGAAATAGTAACTAGACATTTTAGAATACGT